GAAAGTCTACCTTTATAGTCTAGAATTACCTCGGTTCTTGTTTGGTTTGCTATCTTCTCAGTTGTATAAAAGCTTAGAGTGCCTCTCACATTTCACAGATCGCTTGCACTTTTGTACTTGTCTACAGAAGACGTAATAAACTTTGAGGAGAATTGAAAACAATCTTTTTGTCTGTTTTCCTGTCCATTTGCAAGCACCTACGTGAGCACATTTGTTCTACGTGTTTCCTTCATGTTATAAATAAGTTTATGAGTTTCGGAACGTCTTAAATAAGTTTAAGATAACCAACCTACCAGACGATCCCCGTTTAGGGCTAGCGCATAATTTCCCGATTCAAAAAGCACGTTCAAACGTGTGGTCACGTGCAAGGTCGAACGGGCACCTGTATCAAACGGGCACCCGTTTCAAGCTGGCACCTGTATCAAATGGGTACCGTTTCGAGCGGGTACCGTTTCAAACGGCTACCCGTATCCCATAATCACGTTTGATCCAAACGGGTCGACAAGTTTGCACCCGTTTGATTTACCAGTTTGCCACCCGTTTGAATTTCAAATGGTATTTTTCAGTAGGGGTACCCGATGGATCAGTAGAAGCATGGGGTCAAGCTGAAGAAAAATTAAGAAAACTTTTATCGGACTGTTTTGATGGGGGGAAGGGGGGGAAGAACTGACTCATGGTCGGGTTTTACTATCAAGCGTGCTCATAAGCTGGGTCAGTTTGCCGCAAACAAGTGCAGGCCGATCATTGTGAAGTTTGCTTTTTTTAAAACAAAGGCACAAGTGCTGCAATTTAGGGAGACACTTGTTAATATAAGCGTTGGTGAGGATTTCTCTTTTACGACACGTTTGGCGCGGCAAAACTTAATTGAGTTTAGTGAATCGCAAGGTTCAACTTTCAAACTTAACTATGACAAATTGTTCATGAACGACAAGTGCTATATCTATGATCACGAACTGGGCCGCGTCTCGGAACTAGCCCGTCCGCATGCCTCTCTTGATGCAGAGCGTCACGTTTCAAAACCTGAGGGTACAACTACCTTTGATTAGCAGTTATTGAGGGGCAGTGGTCATCATGATGCTCTACGTAACGTGTCCGTCCTCTTTACAAACATACGAAGCCTAATAAAAAACCGTGATGAATTATGTTCCACGATCGATATTTGTGACGCCAGCATTGTTGTGCTGACCGAGACATGGCTTTTGGCAAAGATAAGAGACGCAGAGTTGTTTCTTGGTCAAAATCACTTTAATACGTTTCGCCATGATAGGGATGAACGAAGTGGCGGTGGTGTGTTAATCGGCGTTAGAGACTGCATCTCGTCATTCATCGTGGATACTAACAGATCTCTTGAAATCATTTTTGTTTGTGCTACCATTCAACACCAAAGGATAATTCTAGGATGCTGTTATCGCGCGCCTTCATGTTCAGCTGACTTCGCTGATAAATCGTATGACATATTGAATGCAGTTTTAACACGTTTTCCTACCACACCACTACTGCTATTAGGTGATTTTAACTTCCCAAACATTCTATGGGGATCGAGTTGTCCTTACAGTGTGTGTGCTAATTTTGTGGGTGTTGCATCCGAATTTCATTTGTCTCAGCTAGTCAACACGCCTACTAGAATAATGCCTACTACGTCAAATATTTTAGATCTCATTCTGACTACTGTGCCTAGTATGATTGGTCCAATCTCTTATCTTCCTGGTTTTAGCAATCACTCCCTGCTACATTTTGTGCTGACTATTCCTTTAAATTGTGCTAGTAATAAGAAGAAATTGTTTCTCGACTACAGCAAAGCGAAATTTGATTCTATTAACGATGATTTATGTTCTTTCTTAGATACACACTTTGAAAGGTTTTCGGAGCGCTCCGTTGAGACAAACTGGTCAATTTTTAAAGAAATGATTAACACACTTACTGAAAAGTATATTCCTTTAAAAACTATCATTGTTAATGCCAGTTCACCATGGTTTAACAGAGTACTCCTCAGACTTTCTAACAAAATGAAACGCCTATTCAGAGCCGCCCAAGGTACGCTCTGTCCTGTTCGCTGGCAGAAATACGCAGACGCTGCTGCGTGTTATCAGAATGCGATTAGTGATGCGAGGTCTAAGTTCTTTAACCAAGTCCTGCTATCTATGCTTCAAAATAACCCTCGTCAATTTTGGCATGTTATGTCCTGCCGTGATAGGCAGCCTGTTATTTCCCTTAAAGACGGTGATAACTCTGCTCAGGTCGATGAATCTTTATGTGCCTCTATTTTTAACGAAGTTTTCTCTAAATCTTTTTCTGACCCTATCAGCAACACTGATCCGTCTTTTGTGCAAGCAATTTTTCATTAATGGATCATGTCATCATTAATCCCGATGGTGTTGCAAAAATTACAAATGGCCTTAAGTTGTCTTCAGCTACTGGCACAGACGATATCAACTCCAAATTTCCCCCTCAAAGCAGCTAATCAGTACTCTTCCCTCATGCTCACGAGAATATTTCAACAGTCATTTGATATCGGGGTTTTACCAAGGGACTGGAAAATTGGGAAAGTAATTCCTCTCCAGAAGGCTCGTGACAAGCACTCCCCATACAACTACAGGCCTATCTCACTAACAAGCATTCCTTGTGAAGTTTTCGAGCACATCATATATACGCAACTTGTTAACTTCCTTGAATCTAACTCCTTCTTCACCTCAGCTCAACATGGGTATAGGAGAATGTTCTCATGTGAAACACAGCTACTGTCCATTACTAATAATTTTCATGTTGCTTTTTATCAGGGATCTCAGGTGGACTGCATATTTCTTGATTTTTCAAAAGCTTTCGATAAGGTATCCCATAGACTTTTACTCCATAAATTAAGCAAACTTAACATCGACCCTAACGTGTTTAATTGGCTGATAGCATTCTTAACGAATCGTTCACAATTTGTAACCTGTAACGGTATTAACTCTACCCTCACATCTGTTTCTTCTGGAGTACCTCAATGGTCTGTTTTAGGTAAATTACCTTTCCTGATTTACATTAACGACCTGCCCAATGTTGTATCCTCCTCTGTAAGACTATTTGCTGACGATTGTGCCATCTACCGTATAATGTCTAATGACTCGGATTCCCGACATTTACAGCATGATTTGGACTCTATTTTGAAATGGGGCGAGCTTTGGTCAATGGAACTTAACAATAAAAAATGTAAATTAATGCGCGTAACCCGTAAAGTTTCTTTTCCTACTACTTACAAACTCAATAACATACCATTATAACCTGTTGACTCTTACAAGTATCTGGGTGTAATCCTTAGCTCTGATCTTTCCTGGAATCTGCATGCTACTTACGTGACTAATAACGCTAACCGCGTGCTTGGTTATCTTAAACGGAACTTTTTTCTAGCCCGTTCATCCTTAGAGATTTTTTTTTATAAAACTCTAGTACGCTCTAAACTTGAATATGCAGCTTCCATCTGGGATCCCGATATGACCTACCTTAGTGACCTAACCGACCCCATTCAGAATAAATCCGCACGTTTTATACTAACTAATTATAACCGTACCACAGGTGTGACGTCACTGAAGAACATTTTACTTTTACCCAGCCTCGCACATCGCCGTAAAATTTCTATCATTTGTCTTTTTCACAAAATATTCCACCACAACACAGTATTCAGAAATCAGCTATTAACCCACCATCCTTCGTTTCAGCACGTCTAGATCATCAGCACAAAGTTGGAGTTCCATCTTGCCGTTATAACAAATATTTTAACTCGTTTATCCCGAGAGTCACAAAAGAATGGAACCAGTTACCTCCATCTCTTGCATCTATTGTTGATTGTGATCTTTGCGGCACAAGTGTTAGTAGCAATGTTCTTCCTATTACTTAACTCATGTTTCACTGTTGTTTCATGCTGTTTTTGTTTTGTTTGTTTTTCCCACTCCTCTTTGTAATGCCTCTGGCCCTAAAGGCAAAATAAATAAATAAATAAATAAATACGCATTATAATTTCGATCTTTATCGTTCTATCCCAGCTGCTCTCGTCACATTATCCGGAAGTTATTTACGCAGGCCTAAAATAGGATTTTTTTTTCTCAAAAAGCCAGGTAGATCGCCTGGCTTTATTGAAGGGGAAAACAGCAAAACAATAATTTATGACTCGGCGAATGCACCCAATTGGCACCCGCCTTATTGGAGAACGTTTAGAGCCTTAAGTGTCCTCTTTTCTTCTGGAATAAGTTTCGTAAACACGACGCACTCCGCAATATTAGTCTAGTCGCAAAATACCTAGGTTCTATTTGTCGGCAGTTAAATTCGACCCTTGTTTCCTTGGTGAAACTTGAGGATGTACCGCAAGGTATCATCGTAATCACCTAAATTTCTCGTAGCTATTGTAACGATGCGACTCAAGCGCGTGCCCACGGATTTACCGAGGACGACGAAGATGCGCGCGAAGGCGGCACGCCACCGGAACTTCTACTCTGTTCCAATACATCCAAGAATATCGCCTATGCCATAAGATTACAATATTATTCTGAATCTCCGCTAAACAAGCCACTCAATTGGCTGTGATTAGTTCTTTACCGGGAGCTCAGTGCGCAGCTTCTGCTAAAACCATTCGGGGCGAAACGTCGTCATTTTCGTGCAGCCTGAACCTGTTGCTTAACGCCGTCGGATTTGAGAAATTTGATTTCTTTGTGTGTGCGAATTTAAGTGGCCGTGCAACAGCGGCTCAAGAGTGGGGTCTAAACCGAAACGGTAACCTCGGGGGCGGCTGTCGCCGAACCGATCGAACTTGTATTTTATTGTGAGATATAACTGAGAGTCAGTTTACATATAAAATAGCGCCAAATTTTATGAATATTTAAGTTTAACAATCAATTCGAGTAATTCGGAAATGTAACAACACCTCTTTCACTGTTAGCGTTTTGGGGCTACAAAATGCAAACTTTCTGTTAGTTATTTTTCTTTCATTTTTTTAAGAATCTTTTTATTAGTGTGCTTTCTTGCAAATATTATTCCACGATTACGTTGTCCAAAAATCCGCTGCGTGGGGTGCTGTCGTAACATCCGGGTCCATGTTGCCTGTAATAAAGGGATAGTTTTATTTTAAATTGAACGTGCGTGTGGTGATAGGTATTTAGAGATGCCTCAAATATATATATAATGGCCACACTTCAGTAATAAAAAACCGCTCTTTACAAGTTTATATAAAATATATTTTCTTCCGCTGAAATTTTTAAGTCGGGTAAGCAAGCAGCAACCCAGTTGTTTGAGTTTTTGTATAGAAAGGTAATGTAACAAGAAAGATCAGAATCATTTTTTCTAATAAACTTAAAATGCACGGTCTTTTTGTTCTTGTCTGAACTAATCATTTTCGGCATTTTAATGCCAGAAATAAGCAATAACAAGCATCGTACCTTTGACGCTTTGGTGACATGCAAAGAACTTTGTACCTTCCGAATAATAAAATATATTGCTTACTAAATACTCCAAACCTACACTCCTATAAATGTGATATCGACTGGCACTACTTTCGTTTAATTTGAGTTATTTTCACGACAAAAAAAAATTCTAATTTTCATTAAAAAATAAAATTTAGCCAGCTTTTGAGAAAGGTTCATTAATAAAAAGCATTTTTATTTCTTCTTATTTTTTTGTTATTTCAATGATGTTAACTTTCTATTAACTTAATCAAACTTTCCCCTTGTTCTCATATTTCCTGTAGCTTTATGTTGTTTTTCGTACTGACATACTACCGTCTTGTCGATTTGGTTGCATTGTTTGATCGCTTGATCAAACATTAAACCCAAATAATAGAAGGGAAAAAAAGGTTTTCGCGCAAGTTGGTTTTACTGTAAGGCATTTAGGCTTGATATGCTACGGGCAGTGTAGTTGCAAGCGTTCGGCTTGGGAAGGGAAGGGGCGGTGGGAGCTGGCTTTGATGGGAGGCAGGAAGAGAAGAGGGTGTTGCGAACATTAGAAAAAAGGTCTGCTCTTTTTACACCATGGCTAAGCGTACTTTTGTTTTCCTTTAATTTCAATGCAGGCCTTCAAGTCAGGGGCAAATCCTATATGTACACTACTCGATAGAGAAAAAACACTACACACTGAAAACATACAAAATAAGTGATTCGCCAAAATGATATATATTGAAGCGAAATGAAGCACACAATTCACCGGACTCAAGTCTGCCCATTCAAGTGAAAGGGAAAAAAAAGCACGCGATTGCCAGTGAATTTAGCCGGATTAGCGGAGGGCTGGAGGCAGTCATTCAATTCTGATACTGGTACGTTCACAAATTCCTTTCCCCTCCCTAGCCCCTTCAAAGTCAGCTCCCGCCATCCCTTCACCTCCCAAACGCTTGCGACGCCACTGCCCTTGGAATGGGAACCTTACAAAAAAAAAAAAACCTAGCTTCAAGTAAATCCGACCAGCGAAACTACCGTTTCGTCGATTCGCACCCATTCTCCACTTCTCAAAAAAAAAAAAAAAAAAACTTTGATTAGGGCAATACAAAGTTAACATAATTGGGAATGTTAAAAATATACTAAATATACAAAAATGCTTTTAAAAACGCGGGCTCAAAAATAGCAAAAATATATTTTATATGAATAAAAATGTAGTTGTTTTCGTGAAAATGAATTTGCGTAAATTAGAACCGGTATATAGCGCATGTAAAAGACTGCAGGTTTACCGTATTTAGTAAACGACATGTGTGATTAATCCTAAGATACAAGGGTCCAAATATGTCACTAAAACCTGAAAAGTACGATGTTTGTCATTTTCGGTCTTGTACACGTTACTGGAAAAGAAGTAATCGCTTACTATAGCAATTACTTTTTGTTGAAAATATTCAGTTATATTACTTGATTACCCAATAAGAAGCGTAATTGAACGTTGCTTGAAAATATAACCGTTACTTTTCCGATTACTTCAGATTTTCAAAGGGAAGCATTTTTCGGCCGCTTTGAAATTGTGTCTTTCGTACCTTATATTCTTTGATAAGAATCATCGAATTGTAAACTACTCATCTTCCTAATCCTCCAATTTTGGTAAACCGTTCTCCTGTCGGAGACATGGTCTGAGGATTCATTGGTCGGAAACTTGTACATTCAAAGCGCGCCATTAAAAAAGGTAAGGGAAAAATAGGTACAGTTACGAGCAAATTTAGTACCTCTAAAGGTAATTTATTTAATTACCTCTAAAGGCCCACAGGGGTAGTACATAGAGAGGGGGTACAAAAAGCATCGTCATAGTCGTACAATGATGTAATTGTATGAACATATAAAAGGAAACATAATCACGCTAATACAGCTCAATAACGCGTTACATGATGCATGGGCACGCCCACCGGAATGTGATAAGCCCTAAGTGATTAAAAAGCAATAAAGAAGAAATATACAAGTGCTACCAAAAAGAGTGTACACAGAAAACCTTATAGAAAAGACTTAATAAGCGATGATGACACATACGATTACTGCCTTATAATTGCAAAGTAATCATTACCAGATTACTGTATATGGTAAAATTTTATTACTTATAATAAGTTGCATACAAGTTCAGTCATCGTGCTTTTGACCTTTGATAAAAAAAAGGGGGGGGGGGGGCTGCCGGCTTGGATTTTCTGAGACCCCTTTGACAAATCCATTTCGGGACCCGAGGCACAGGCCCACTTACAATATTACATCATCTATAGCCCCCCCCCCCCCCTCCCATTTCCACACTATGGTTCAATGTTGTGATGTTTTCAGTGGAGGAAGAGAGATAGAGTGAGAAGACAACATGGTTGGTGTTGTTATTTGCGTCCCCATGTTCTTTTATTGAGATATATTAGTATTTAAATAGTTATCAAATACTCAGTGGTCTATTAAGAATACTGGCCAAGTGTAAACATTACTGCTTATTGTTATTTTGAAACATCGGAATGCATTTATAACTTAATATCTCTATTAGCACTGAGTTGTTTTCGTTCAACTAATAGCAACACACTTGCGTTCTACAAACCCAAAAGATGAGCAAGGGAGTGTGGAGGATTCAAATTAATATGCGCAGGTTCACATACCTTATACCCATTATGAACGAGTTCGCAGAGCACTCGGACAGCCTTTCGCTGTTCTCCCCATCCGGCTTCCCCATAAGATAGCCTTCATTGTACGGGCACCATGATGCCCCATCACTTCCTTGAACATACTCCCAACCAGGAGGGCCTTGACCGTCTTCCACGGCGCCCATACTAGAAGGACAAAAATATAAATGTTTCTCATGAAGTCCGCGCACTGATGGAAACAAAGAAACAGATTATGAACGAGGCCGACTTCCAAACACAACAATCACAATGTTTATTATACATTTTTTGCTAAGTTATTTTGTTAAATTGCAGTTATGAGTCAGATGATAGCTTAAAATAAATTATATGTTTATCCGTTTGACTTATGGAACCCTGAAAAACTATGTAGCAGCCAGGCAGAAATAACATGAAAGGAGCAGGTTGTGAGTGTCGGGGCGTACTCCGTCCAGAGATAAGGCGTAACGCCTTTCAGACCAATGGCAGGGGCGAAGCGACCAGTTGGAAAGAGAGGAACAGGAGAGAGCTTTTTTTCGAAAGGATTCAATGTATGCACAGTTTCCGAAATAGTGTTAGCAACCTGCGTACGGCACTAGCGTCCGCTATATGTTCCTCCTGAGACCCTACTACTGTTAGAAAGAGAGAGCTATGCTTTGAACTGAGTAAAAAGAAAAAAAAAATGAATCTGAATTGAATATCCCAAGTTTTCTTTTGGGAGGAATCACTTGTCTCCCGGAACGAGAGGTGTACCTCGGTCCCGCGCCGACTCAACTAGCTCTTTTATTTAAATATTTATTTATTTATTTACCCTCAAAGTCCATAGTACATTTCAGAGAGGAGTGGACACACAAAAGGGATGGCAACGAAATCGATCTACGAAGGGGTCTGTTACTAAGTGTTTGTTTGAAAAAGAAACGTCAGTGATGGAGGCAATTGAAGCGGGAAGGCGGTTCCAATGTGTTGACGTGCGAGTTATGATTGACACACTGAATGCGTTAGATTTGGAACTTGGTATGCCAACGTTATGAACGTGATCGTAAACGAAAATCGTGCCATGAATGGCAGCGACGGCACGGACGGCGAAGGCACTGCACGACAGGGCAAGACAGCAAGACCGACGGTGTCCGAACCACCACGGGATGTTGAACCTCGACCGACGGGGGAGCCTGGAACCGGCGTGGTCGGTAGCGGTGAACTTTTACGCTGGCGGTAGGGCACCAAACTTCGCCGGTCGCAATAAAGAACCGCTCCAGTGCCCATCTCAACCACGTACGGCCTTTTATGCTGTGCCGGACTTAGAACAGTTGCCTACTGTCGATCCGGCTGCGTCCAGACGGGTGCCCCCCTGAAGCTCTGGAAGTTCTCGGTCCCGGTGACGGTTACTGAAGTTGGCAGGCTGCTTCTTGCAGTAGCTGGAATCCCTTGCAACCACGACGTCTCTCCTCAAACCAAGGAGCTGAAGCTGCTCCTCCGTCTTCGATAGCCGCCATCTGATTTGGCGTCGATCAGCAGTTGCATAGGGCTGAAGCTTGTGACGCCTGGCATGTCGCGACAGCCTAGGAATGCCAAGTAAGGGTCTTTCTCCTTATGGAAGAGGCTTTTGATGGTACGAAGCATCTTTTCTAACTCTCCATTTGACTGGGGGAACTTTGGGCTGCTGATTACGTGAGCGAAGCAGTACGACTTTGCGAACACAGCAAACTCCTGCGACGAAAACAGAGGGCCGTCATCAGATCACGCGGTCTTGGGAATTCCGTAGCGAGCAAACGTGCGTTTCAGATTCTCGATTACTTTTCCTGCAGGAATGTTTTCAAACTTCACCTTCTTTTGGTAGCGGGAGTAGTAGTCGACCAGCAGGATGAAGGTTTGGCTGTTTAAGTGGAAGCTAGGTCAACGCAAATGACTTCCTATGAATTGCCCAGGAAACTTATGCTGAAAAGGTATTCCGCCAAATCGACTCGGGATGACACACACCTCTCTGAGTTTGCCCACGAGTGAGTTGATACTGGCATATATCGGGGGCCACCAGACCAACGTAGCGATTGATCCCTTGATGATTGTCGTAAACCAATGCGGATATCATCGGGCGAAGCTAAGCTTGGATGACTGCCCTGGTTCTCTTTAGCAGGAGACCGTTGCAGACGGAATGTTCTTCTAGCACTAGTGCATATTAGGTCACATGAAACGGTAACTTCGCCTTCGAGGGCGTACCACCTTGACAAAGGAAAAATGAGAGCACTCCTTACGCCAGGCGACACTTCAGCCATATTGAGATCATCCAACGGGACAGGAAGCACATAAGAGAAGCCCTTCACGATTTCAGCTGCAAACAGCTTAAGGGAGTCCAACCCTCCAATCGCACGAGATGTCTTCCATGGAATCCGAGACAGCCTGACAGCCGTTGCTAGAAGCTTCCCAGGGACGTGAAGCATCCTGAGCTGGTCCCGCATGAGGTTCAGAAGCAACCGCTGAATCCGGGGTGGCCAGATGTCGAGCTCCATCTAGCCGAAAAGAAAGAGAAGAGGCCTGTGGTCCGTCTCGGCTTTAAACGAGATTTCCCCTCATGTTCTCGTCGAACCTCTGTCACCCACGTGGCCGCCAGAGCCCCCTTTTGTGTTTGGCAGTAACGCTGCTCCGTTACTGCCAGATCTTTCCATGCGGCGAAGGCAACAGGTCGTCGGTACCAGGTCGGCTAAGTCTAGAGTAATACTCCACACAGCCCGAGGAACTTGCATCTGAGGAGATGAAGGTTGAGTAGGACGGGTGGTATTCCAAGATGCAGTGGTCCGACGTGGGAATCTCCTTCAGGGCAATAAAAGCGGCGTCTTGCTCGGATGTTAAGGTACACTGTGCGTTCTTGCTGAGGAGTGCCCTGATTACCTCGATAACTTGGACCCCGTGGGGAAGAAAGCGGCCAGACCGGTTGCCCATGCCGAGAAGCCATCGCACCCCCGCGACACCCGTCGGTGGGTTCGTGTTCTTCAGCTCCCAGAACTTGCCGGGGTCAGGTATTGTCCCGTCAGCAGAGACGACGACACTAAGAAAGGACACAAGGAAGACGCCGAAGCGGCACTTGTCCTTATTGACAGTGACACCCACATTTAAGAGACGCGACAGGACTATCTGAGGCCCTGGTCATGCTATTTCATCAATCTGCCGAAGACACGGATGCTGTCAATCATGTTAAATGTTTCTTCGAGGCCTCCCAAGATCTGAGCTATCTGTCTTTGGAAGAACTCGCGGATTGACATGATGCCGAACGGGACCCGGCCGAATCAAAACCGGCCAAACGTTGTTATAAACGTGGTAAGCTCCGGCAAGCCTTCGGGCAGCTTCACCTGGTAAACACTGGACGATCCAACTTCGAGAATAGAGCAGTGTCAGACAAATTGATTTAGCTTCGTCACGTCGACACAAAGCCGAGAGCCTCCAGAGGGCGTCGGAGCCACGACCAGTACAGCACACTATGGAGCTGGATTGGAGACTCGCTGAATGAACCCTTCGCGTTTCAGCTGGCTCAGCTCCGTTCGCACAACCTATCGCAGGGGCATGGGTATTCGGCGTGGAACGCTGAGTGAAAAAGGCTCCGTATCAGGATGTAGCTTAGTCGTGTACTCTTCCATGAGCGTACCGAGGCCTTCGAAAAGACATTGCGGTGCCGGTATCTCTACGTCGTCCATAAACTTCACGACACCCAAGGCTTGGATGACTGGAATTCCCAGCAGTGGCACCGAGAGAGACTTGAAACATACAGACGCTGACACTTGCACTGGCCCCGCTAAACGAATGTGGCTATGAAGGAGCCCAAGATTTGCAGCGACTGGTCTCCCGGTCTTGTCAGCAAGTCGTCGACCGCGTCCAGTTGGAGGGGAAAGTTCGGAAATCCTTCCGATACGGTACACACCTCAGCGCCGGAGTCTACCTTGAACGTTTCAGTCTTTTTAGGGAGTTTTAGTAGACCGTGTTTCCCCTTCCGCGAACTCTCCGCTACGAAGAGACCGCCATTGCGCCTACGCGCCGATGGCCTTGGCTGTAGATTTCCGGGTAGCGGAGGGGCTTAGCGGAGGGGGAAACACGGTCTACTAAAACTCGCCATAGACCCTTTCTTGCTTACTCTCGTCCCCCCGCCGAGCCGCCTCAGTGGCTCCAAGGCGAAAACGCCGGCCTACGGATCCCCAGGTGGCGGGTTGGAGTCCCGACCGAGGTGCCCGCAATATGACGGAGGCTTATTGCGGAGAAGGCGCCGTGTAACCGAGCTTTCGGTTGCACGTCAAAAGATCCCCAGGTGGTCCAAATTAATCCTCAGTCCTCCGCTGGGGCGTGCCAGATGCCCGTCGTAGGTTTGGCACGTAAAACCCCCAAATTTGACTTTGACTTTTCGTCCCCCCGCCGCCAAGTAGGCATATCCGGTATGGGCTACAAAACATTATAAAACATTTCAACCTGCAAATGGTAAAAAAATAGAGCGGACACAAAATGAGAGTGTGTGACGATTACGCTTATATCCGAAATGCATTATATAGGCGTGGAGACGGCAGAGCGATGTTTTTGCCCATACTGAAAATGACGATATTTTAAGATGGCGGCGCCCTTGTGAAAAAGGTCTATTGTCGACTGTCACCTCAACGTGCTTGGCCTTCCCAGGTTTGAGGACTGCGTGAAGCTGTAGGATCGGCCATAATCTTGCTCTGCTACCGCTTGCGAGCGTGACAGACGTCCAGCGAAGCGGCCTTTCTTCTTGGAGTAGTTGCACAGCAACTGTTGAGCGGTACAGTTCGAACGCACGTAAACAGCTCGGTCGCAGTAATCGCAGAATCCACTTGGTCATCTGGAAGGATTGCAGACGCTGACGGATCTTCCGAAAGCTTTGTTCCCTTACACTGGCGCGACGGGCCACGACGAGACTTTGCTGCGTCATCGTTTATGTCTGCAACGTGTGCTTGACTTTAGCAAGTTTTTTTTTCCTTGGCATCTTTAGCCTGCTTCGCCTGCGCCCACGCTTCTTTTTGGCTGAGTTTAACGTTTCGGCAGAGCTGATAAGAGACGCGCCATCCCGAAGGACAGCAACCAATATGTCAAGGAGAAGACCCTCTGCGACGTCGGGCGACGGAAGGTTTGATCGTTTGACAAGCCGACACAGCTCAGCGTAGTGGCGGTATATTCTCTAT